CCCCAAAACCCCAAAACCCCAAAACCCCGTGAAACTAAAATAAGTATATGATAATTAATTAAGAAATTAAACAATACAGGAAGTTTAATCAAATATTCTTTGAATTTTGAATAATTAAATCGAAAATGGGTTGCTGTGTTAGTCAAAATGAATAGAGAGCATTCGTCAATGTAAATGGAAATCCTGTTAACCCTCATTAAAATGCCTCATCTTAGAGAAGTCAAGAGGAAAGACCTAGAAGAAGTCTTCCGCCTCCTGCTATGCCCAATTCTTCTTAATCAAATTAAAATTCTGCTTAGAATGCTGCTAGAATTACTTATCTATAAAATCCAGGTGTTGGTATGATGTTTTGAATTCATTAATTTTGTAGAAAAAGTAATAGCTGGATAGGTATCAGGAGAAGGAATAAAAGCCACGCCAGCCTATGAAACTCCGCTGACTTCTCATGAATTAAATAAGTGGAGATAAGAATTCTGGGGTAAGTTTGGTTATAATCATCAGAATACGCCAATAAATTATCATTCTACGATTATGAAGTTCCATATAATGTCTAACTTAATATAGAGACGAGAACACAAGGTCAATCTCATATATGGTAGTTACTTAAAAATGCTTGCTCTGAGACTCACGATTCTGCTGAAGCATTGATCCTAGCAGCAGGATTAACAATGCCTTAGAACTCACTAACACTGGTAATAGATGAGAATGGAGTATATTATCGCGTTCCATTATGCTGTATTAATGAGCCAATGAATTACAGTGTAAACTCCTAGGATGAAAAACTAAAAGAAAAAGAGAAACCCCCTGAAATTTTGTATAATGTAAGCAGCCTTAACTATCATAACTTACAATAGGATTTGAAAGTAAGATCATCGAAGGGAATTTGTGAACTGAAGGCATCGAATTGGGATTCTGTTATAGAATTCAAATAAAAATACATAAATGCAATAAATGATAATGATCTGAAAGTGGAGAATATCAGAATGTTTTGCCTTGGAAAGGAATTTAAAGATGACTTATTTTTATATAACTACGATTTGGTTGATGAGATGACTGTATAAGTAATGTTTAAGAAATGAATCATAAGCTTAATACTGATTCCATTAATTTTGAGAGTAGGTTTTAATTTCGACTTGTGGACGAGTATGCGATATTTGAATTAATGTTGCAAAATGCTATACTTAAGTTTGGATCTGAAAAAATTTTTAATGGACAATTAATTTAGTAAAAGATTTAGTTATTTTTAAGTTAATAAAATATAAAATTATTAAATTCATTCAAAGTTCTCTATTCATTCACTGTTCCTCTTCGTATTAGATTGCAGGTAGTTAGCTTCCTCCAGTAATTGCACTCTGTCTATTTGCTTGCTTGTTAAAACCAGCACTGTCCTATTATTCATTATAACTGTTCGAGACATTTCCTGGTACTCCTGCATTCATTTTGGAAAATAGTAGCCTCAGTACACGCTCTCTGTCCTCCCAATCAAGATCATTAAGATCAACTTTATCAGCATAAGACTTGCTTTAATTTTAAGTCTGCTAGTTAGAGTTTTCAGGTTCAACTCCTGGAAGAGTAGTTCCCATTGTCTGGCCTAATCTTCTTTGTTTTCTCTCAATAGCAATCTTTTTTCTGATTTCTTCTTTGATTTATTCTAAAGCTTCTAAGAAAAACTGTTCAACATCGCTTCTTTAATCTAGAATGACTTGTGATAATGCCTTAACTTTCTTTGCTTCTGAGTTCTTGCTTCTCATTATCTCTCTTAAATCTAAAAGAAAAATTTACTAATAAAAATGTTGGAATTACTTAGGATCTCTTCTTTCTATTCTTTTATGATTTGTTCATGCTAAAATCTCACAAGTTCTTTTTCTTTTTCAAAATCTTCAACAATCTAGGCCAAAGACTTTTCAAGGATTTAAATTTTGCTTTTCAAAACTTTGATCTTCTTTTATTGATTTTTTCCTCTTTAGTCATACTAGTCAGCGGTTCCAAGATTCAACATCATATCCCTTTTGAATGTTTTATTATCATCGGCCATTTTCTATTTTTCTCTCTTGTAATAATCTAAGGAGTACCTCTGAGACATTGTTTTTTCAGTTAATTTTTAGTTTTCATGATGAATATTCCTCTCAATATCCTAGATATCTATATTTGTTATTAATTCTGAAAACTTTCCAAATATGCTTACTCCTCTCTGCATCAAGTTAAGCCTGAGCCTTAAATTTCTCAAGACTTTCCTTGTACTCTGATTCAATTGCCTTTTTCATCTTTGCTTACTCAATTTGTATATTGTATTTCTCATCCTAAATGACCTTCTAAATGGAGTTACACTGATTCCTCCAGTGCTGCAGCTATGTTTCAAAGTAAATTCTTTTCTTATAAGTATCATCCATGTTATTTCTTTCTTCTCTAAGTTCATTAATCTTAGTATCGTTTTCAACTATTTTCTCTTAACCTCTTTTAGTCATGTCCTTGATCTGGTTCTAGTACTTCGTTACAATTTCATTATTTTCTTTCTCGTTTTTCTTCTCTAGAGTCTGAATTTTAGTCTCCAAATCAATTAAAACTTTCATTTTCTCTTCGTTTTCACGAGTTAAACGTTCAATGACATCGTTTCTATCTTTTTCTTGATTCTTATATTTTTCGTTCAACCCATAAACTTCATCATGACTATATCAAAAGAATTATTATCATTTCGAATTATATAAAATCTAAATATTGTCACAGAATTCGTTGCAATTTGAACTTAGATTACTTACAGTTTTTTAATTTAGCTTTCCTTATCTCCAATCATTTTACCTAGAACATTTACATCTCTAAAATAACAGTCATTATAGTAAAATATACGAATATTTTTAAGACTTTGCTCCTTCAACCATTTTGAAATAATTAATTTAACTTTTATCTTTCTTTCAAATAAAATGAGTTACAATAAAATTGGGGTTTTGGGGTTTTGGGGAGATCGGAAGAGCACACGTCTG